GCAGTCATCCAGGCCTCTTCTTGTCACTCTCTTCATTAGAGGGACATCATGTATCCGTGGTGCAGAGCTCAACTGAGTGCACATTTAATAGTCTCTAAACTTCCTCTCCCACTGAGCCGACAGGTCGGCCTCCGTGTCCTGATTTTATCACCTGTGATCCAGCATAGTTATCTGTAGTGGCTTCTCCAATCACTCTGTGATAATGGACAGCGGGATATTGACTCTGATTTCTAGCCTCATATGTTCAATAGCCACGGGACTCCGAACCAAATTGTCCTACATTATGAAAAAGCACAGATCAGACATCTCATTAGACCAGTAAAGACATTCCTGTTAATCGGATCAAATGCACGATGCAGACACGGACAAAGTATCAAAATAAAGTGTTTTTAATGTAAACAGGTAGCAATACACTGAATACATGAAACAACAAAACAACCACTCAATAAACTGTCTTACCTAAACTATAAAAAAAACTACAAAATAATAATACAAAAATACTTACTAATCTTACCTTACTTAATCTAGCTATCTATGAAAGATTACTATACCTATGGACGATGACAATGACAATGACTATAACGCTGGAATGCTTGGAAACGCACAAGACAATCTGGCAACGAGACAGGGGGAGACGAGAACTATAAATACACAGAAGGGTAATCACAGGACAAGACACAGCTGGGCAGGGGAGGCAGAAACACAAGGGCAACAGGTGAAGACAATAAGATAATCACAACAGCGGGAAAACAGACAAGGCAGGAAATGTACTTTAGACACATGAGGGTAGACAAGACTATCAAAATAAAACAGGAAAAGATTGTTTTGTTATGATCGACACAAGGCTCAGGACCCAAACGCACAACACCAGCACCAGGTCAGGATTAACAAAGTATTTTAATAAAAAGGCAAAAACACAAAACGCTCACTTGGAGTATCAAAACTGAGAAACTATAGGATCAAAAAACGCATAGAGGGCTATGCCTATACGAAATAGAACACATAATGGCAGGAAGGGCTCTGAAACGAGAGGGAAATGCTACTACAAAATTAAACAGGAGGTCACAAGACAAGGCAAAAGACAAAGGATTGAAATGAATTAACTTAACATAAATGTCTGGACACCACATGGCAGTACAATGTAGCAGCAACGACATATAAAGTGCAAGAAAATATAAAAGTGCTACATAAAGTGCAAGAGGAGATACCCCTGTGTTAAAGTGCATTTAGCAGTGATTGCACGTCTGTTTGTCTCTTAACCATTCCCTGTGTTGACCTTTAAAACTATTGAGAGTGGGACAATCCCGTATCTCAGTTGGGAGGCTGTTCCACAAAGAGCTGCCTTTAATGGAGAGGACATTTTGACCAAAAGTGGTCCGTCTATGGTGGATTTCACAGTCTCCTCTGGTTTCTGACCTAGTGCAGCGTCCAGTGTGTTTTTTGTGGATGAATTCCCCTAAGGGAGGGGGGGCCAGTCCATGTAAACAATTATAAATAAAACACATACCTTTTAAAAGACTTAAAATTGTCAAAACTCAAGAAATTGTGTTTCTCAAGGATGGTACAGTGGTGGTATGAATATGGCTTTCTGTCAAACACCTTGATAGCTCTCTTGTACACAGTGGCGGCTGGTGGAAAATATTTGAGGTGGGGCTGTGGAAATGGTGATCAAACAATACTAGGGGGGTCCGGGGGGATGCTCCCCCGGTAATTCTTTTTGAGAAAAGACCCCTTCAATTATGACTTCTGGTGATGTTAGAGGGGGGGGGGGAAGGACAATTTGAGGCTTAAAAATATGAGAAGACTGATCAATACCTCCATAACTTCAGTGTGGTTAGCTATGAATCTTCCAAAACTTCCAAACACCTTGTCCTGGACATAGTTTCTACAGCATAAACTGTGCAACAGTACAGTAGGCCCACACAAACTGCAGAACACCGGGGCTTTGGGAACACTGATTTAATTCCCATTTAACCTGTTAAGGGGCTTTTTTCCCCCTTTTTTTTTTTCACAAAACTGTGTCTCAGGGCTTCTTAAAATGTAATAAACTATTCATGTGTCCTACTCAGAGGAAACGCATCTAACTGATGATATGAACCATGTTTACCGAAACAAAACACAAGTCTCACAAGAAGCGTCTAAATGAGCCCTGAGCGAAAAAATGCTAACGCACTCTAGGTATAAATCAATCGATATACTTATCGGATATGCACAAACAAGCTTACAAGCTGAGATTCCACAGATTCTAGAAATATAAGTATCATCACTGAGCGATCAGAACTCGCGACAGGGGAAGCAAATACAGACATCACACGACGTAGCTTTAGGTAGCAAAACACGGAGATATGCTCACCTTTTGCAGAATAACAATTCTGATCAAAAACGAGAAAAACGCAGCTGAAGGTTAATCCATAAATTAATCCAATGTGTCTGTCACTTTGAAAATGATTGATGATCCATAATTCCATTTTTATGTCAAAAACTGAGTTTTCATTAGCTACTAATGGTAGCTTCCAGAGTGTATGACAGCTTCCTGTTTTGTCTCCTTGGATACGAGTCCAAACAACTCACAGACTGCACCGGGCGCTCACGTAGGAGCCCTGTGACCATCAGATTTGACGACGCTGATTGGCTGAAATTATGTTTCGGCGGCATAGTTTAAAGATAGCAACAGTTGGCTTCTGCTGCACTTGCTGCACTCTCGTCTGGGCGCTGTGCATAGCGCCCAGACTAGAGGGAGTAATGATACACGGGCAGTCCAGGCAGGAAACATGTGACTTATCAGTAACTTTAGACATCGTAACACAATTTTAAACGAGATTTTTTTGTAGATTATACATTTTACTGATACCAATTATATAATATTTACCTTGTTTATTAAAAATAAAAATAAAAATAAAAATTATATTTTTTAAATATATATTTTTTTATTTTTTTTATTTTTAATGTGGGAAGAGGGGGGGCGGCGCCCCTAGCGCCCATATGGGCCGGCCGCCACTGCTTGTACAGCTGTTCTATTGGTTTCAGGTTGGTGGCACAAGCAAACGACCAGTTTGTCAAACAGTATTCAATGTGGGATAGAATCATACAGTGGAGGTATGACTTTGCAGCATTGACAGTTAAGAAAGGTCTGATTTGTTTAAAATGTTGCAAGTTGAATTTAAAGGTATTGGATACTTTCTTGATATGTTTCTTAAAAGTCAAGTTTCAGTCCAGTATGACTCCAAGATACTTGAAGTGGGGGACTAGTTCTAATTCTGCTCCGTTTAAAAACACATTGGATCCTTCGATTTTGACTGGTCGTTTACTGAACATCATGCATACTGTTTTTTGCATTTAACTGTAAGCAAATGTTGTTCAGCCAGTGTTGAACCTTGTCCAAAGCATTTGAGAGACAGGATGTGATTATTTCAGTATTTTTCCCCTGTACAAAGATGACCGCATCATCGGCATACATTTGTACATTCAAATCAGGACATACATTAGGCAAGTCATTAATGTACAGTGAAAACAGTAATGGTCCAAGAATGGAACCTTGTGGAACCCCAACAAGGTTCACAAGGAAGGGGGATTTGGCTCCGTTGACCAAAACACACTGTTTTCTGTTTGATAAGTAAGACTCAACCCACTGTATTGAATCTGCCGAAAAATTTAAATGAGTCAGCTTTGTAAGGAGCACTTGGTGGTCAACAGTGTCAAAAGCCTTCCTGAGATCAAGGAAGACAGCACCTACATATGGGTTTGTGTCCAACATAGATTTAACCTTTTCCACAAAGACACAGTTAGCTGTCTCAGTGGAGTGGTGAGCACGGAAACCAAACTGCATTGGGTGGAGTGGAGTGAAACCTTTGTCTAAATGTTTGGTGATTAGTTTTGACACCCATTTCTCAGCTACCTTAGTTTATTTTTTAATCTCAAGCCGTCATCGTCACAGAGGAGCATACAGCCTCTGTGTGTGTGTGGCACGTGCACATGTTGTGTGAGCGAGCGAGACAGAGAGAGAGTTGCAACATCAATTATGGTTGATGTTGCAACCGGCATGATGTCAAAGTATTCCATCCGCAACTGCTGAGTCTCAACAACTACACAACCCCAACGTGCATCTCAGCCATAAAACAACTTGGAATACTGTTGTGTTCAAAATTCCAGGAAAGACAAACGACTTCTAAATTCAACTATTTATTAAAAGAGAGCAAAATATATATATTCACTTGGCCAAGGACTCCGTCACGTCATAGAAATTACAGGCAGCAAAGCTGTAATCTGTAACCACTATTTCCGGAAAAGAGCCTCGAACCTCGTGCGACAATACATTTTTACACAGGGGCGTTGCCCGTACATTTATGATTGGTCAAGACTAGATGAAGAGATACCGCGGTTTAGACTTGGTTCTCTTTGGTTGGTGCACAGACTCAGACAGAGTCTCTTGGCAACACAATCCTCCAAATCTGCATTCGGCCGGCTGGTGAAGTCCCTCCCTACTCTGTCTCTATTATAGTAATTTGTTTTCGCTAACGTTTCTACAGATATAGTGGGAAACTTTCATAATGCTGCTTCCTAGCTATGCGTGGGTGTGAAGCTTACCCACACGGCCAAGGTCAGACTCTCAGAAACTCACTGTCTTCTTACTGGGCCTACACCTGGCTTTGCTACATTAGTATTGCAAGCTGAAAACTTTCTTCTGACTATTCCCTTCATTGGTATCTAACCCATCATAACCTGGGATTAGTGATTGTGTCTATTTATTTTATAGTCATAGCAATCTCATGAGCACAATAAGCATATAATGTAATAATAAGAATCAGTCTTTCTAATGTTATATAAAAATAGACTCCACAATACTACGCCGACCTCGTTACATCCACAGAGGCTCTCGTAGAAAGTTTGATTACAACCAACCGTGCCCGCCTGTATCATCCATTCCTTCCATCTGGACCACTGTCGCACGTCACAGCGTTGACGCTCTCGGTGTAAATAGCACAGGAAATACCGCAAGACTGCTACACACTGAGCTGTGCGGAAAACGATGAAACATTTCATCTACAGTCAAAATAGAACTGTGTAATTCACAATCCCTTACAAACAAATCGGCATTCATACAAGACCACCTTGTCATGGACAAGGGAATATACTTTATGTGCCTCACGGAAACGTGGCAACAGCCAGAGGTTTACTGTGCCCTAAATCAAGTCTGTCCCCCTGGCTACAGCTACCTGGAAAAAGCTTGCAGCACTGGTCGTGGTGGCGGCTTAGCAATAATACATAGAAATTAATTGGAACTGTCCCCCCTGCCTCTGCCTGTACTATCATCATTTGAATACCTTGGATTTAAAGGGCCCATGTCATGGCCATTTCCACTGATCATAATTCCATTGTTGAGGTTCAAGGTTCAAGGTTCTTTATTGTCAATCTGACATAGTTACAGAGTAATTATGTAGTTGAAAATCTTATGTCACAGGCTTTGGAAATACTATATATTCAGGTATACTAAAATAGATTTATACTGTGCAATTTTCCAAACTCACATTGGTTTCGCATACAGCATCTCTGTATAGTATGTGTATTCAGCAGTATTCACTCTCTGTGCAAAACGGCTTGATTGTGCTCCTGCCCCCCCCCTCCCTGTGAGCCTAGTGTGCTCCGATTGGTCAGCTCGGCCACTCTGTTCTGATTAGTCAACCACCAGAGAGGCTCCGCCCATGTCTAACACTGTGTTTTCGGCTCTGAGCATCAGTTTTCAAATGGCGTCAGTACAGCCGTACATGTTTGAACCGGAGTCCGATCCTGAAAGTGAGACGGACCGTGATGGACCTGATCCACCGTCCCAACTAGACTGGAGCAGGCGGTTTCACAGTGGAAAGTTTTAATTTTGTATAGCTCTTCCATTTCAGATGTAATGTTAGAACTGCATCATTTATCTACATCACAGTAACAAGTTTGTTTCGCTGACTAACCAAACTGTACCTACAACTGCTGTTATATAGGTGCACTTGTGGAAACTGCGCAGTCATGCCAACCGAAGTGGAAAACGTCTGTTGCAGGGAAATTAGAAAGGTAACAGACATACTTTTCGCGGGAGACTCCCGATTTCATAGCCCTCTCCCGGTTTCCTTCCGGGGTCATATTTCTCCCGCATTTCTCCCGATTTCTGACAAAATCAGATTTACCCTGGACTGTTTCCACTCGGACTTTAATACAGCTACACCATTGTTTGGTTTCCATGGTAGCGTGTCTCTTTAGTAATGCTCCCGATTTCCGAGGTCTCAAGGTTGGCAAGTATGGTGACAGATACAACAAAAACACCAACAGTAGCACACAACATTATATACACCATAGGCCTACATACTTGTCAAGTCAATAGACCAATAGACCAATATGCCCTTTTATTTATTCTATAGTAATTGAATGTTTATTTTGTAAACCTCGCCATATTTGGAGTTAATTGCTAAACGTGTTATGTTACAAAATCTTATCTTCCTATAGGTTGCAACACGAATGATGCAAGTCCCAGAACCTATTGTGTGCATGGTTGACCACCCCGGACTAGAGCCAAACTGTTTCAATCCATACACCCTGCAGAACCTCCATAACATTTATAGGTTTGATTATGGACCTTTGAGGCGTAGAATAAAAGGAGAGTAAGTTATTTTTACCTGTAATAAACTATAATATACTACTGTATTTGATGAAAAATCAAATCATGGTTTGCTATATATATGAATGATATGCTATCTAGGAGCAAATAATTCAGGGAAGAAAGGCTACCAAGTATTTCTATCAAACTTTATTTCTAGAAATGTACAAAATGATGATTGATATACATATATACACTGTATAAGATAAGATGGACCTGTGGGGAAAATCAGTTTTTCAAGCAGCCAGAGGGTAAGGGTGAAAAACAGGACAGCACATATATCTTATCATCCATTCCTCCTCTTATAGGCGTTTTCGGCATCTTGCCTATCGCAGCTTTGTAAGCTGGTGCTGGGGCTTCTTAGGACGAGGCATCAGAGTGGTCATCCCGTCATGTGTTGTCCGCCGGATACGCCGGGAGTTTCCTGATCTGGCAGGACACTATGTTGGCTTCCGACCGCCCCTTGACTAAAACGTGAGACATGGCGGGCTACCACTTCCTCCTTTGAGGGCCTGTCAAATTGAGTGGACAGGTCCTTTGGGATGGGGATTTTATTCATCTCCTCCACAAAGGGTGTTGGATCCTCAAATACTTCTTCAAACACCAGCCTCATCAGCTCACCCACGTACACTGAAAAATATAACATTCATATAATAATTTATTATTTGTATTTTTCTTTTATTCTTTCATTGTACATATAATTCAGTGTGGCTATCTCTCTAGGTCGTCCTCAGACGAGCCCTCCATCGTTGCTTCCAGTCATCCCGTTTCTCCATATATCTGGCCAGTTCATTGGTACTTTGTGCAATAATCATTTAAAATGTAAGTTATGTTTTTAATAAAAACTAAAATATTTGACAACTTACTGTATGTAGGGTCCTTCTTTACAGGCTTTGCGGTACATTCTCCCCTCCTTGCTTTTGGATAGGCCAATTTGTACACAGGTAGTCCTGCAGCTGTTGTGGCTTGCTCACGGTCAGCATTCTCATTGTGATGCATGGCTGCTAGACACAACCTATAGAATAGCTAAATAAAATGAGACTTTGTGTTATGACAGAATAAAACCCTCATGCCACTAAACAGTGACTGTGTTATAAGATGCTACAGAATAAATTATACAGTGTATTACCTGCACAACATTCCCATGAAGGGGAAAACCACATTTTTGGGGGCAAAACGCAGAATTAAGCTGTGGAACGACTCCAGCGATGAGGTCTGGTAGTGATGGCTTAGCTTTTTCACATCTTTGAGAACTCTCGTGTTGTTGAGTATTTTCTCAACTTTGTGGAGTGTTATTGAATCTTGAGTGAAATTACAAAAACATCAACATCCCATTAGAACATTACAACTATCATTTTCCATAACAACAATGTTATATTTACATTCAATATTGTTGATATTATGAAGGAAGTGAAGTGTTTTTAAATTTCTCACTTGTTATTTCCAATTGTTTTATAAATATTGAACTTACCAGGTTTTAGCCATTTATTTGCATCTGTTGTGGCTCTTTCAGGATGTTCACACTTGGGGAATAGGGGGTCGTCGTGCACGTGAATGTTTTGTAGGTGGTTGACGACTGACGTCCACCTTGCCACCTTCTCCGGCCCCGAGGTTGTGCTCGTCGCACTCCAGTATACATGGTTTTTTATGCTGTGCAGCCACCTCTTCAACAACTTGCAGTCCAAGTTTCTTGGACAAACCTGATAAAAAGAAAACACATGCACAAGTGAATATTCAAGTCATAGTGTGTAATGATGTGCTGTGATGGACAATATTCAAGGGTGTGGTGGAAAGAAGGGTGGGGGGCAGACAGAAGGGTAAGCACAGCATGTTAATTACAACCATAACATCCATATGATAATTGCCTGACAATGGTCAGGGACACACCCTTCTGTCTGAAAGCATTTAATAGCCAGCCCAGGAAACCCCCATACATATTCATATACACATCACTGTAAATTCCCATTCTAAAGAGTACTCACATTATCCTAAGAGTAGTGAGTGAAATTGAATTTACAATGACAAAAGGGGCTGTGATCAAGTGGTCTGGCAGACAGTTTACAATAACAGAGGAAAGACCAGATTAGAGGGACAAATTGTAGGGGGAAATATAAATCATGTATCTATCCAGACATGATGTCATGTCTGCTGCTGATTAGAAGCTCAGGATAAATTGCATAGTAAAACAAAGGAATATCTGAACAAAGGACAGTGTCTCTGATTTGGTATTCTTCCATTCAAACATATAGGGATAAATACCTTTTTCAAAGTGCCACACATCATAGAATTGTTCTATGTTGCGTTCCCTCAGAAACTTCTGGATTTGTGGATGACGGTCAGTCACAATGTACTCAACCGCCAAATTGTTTGACTCCAGATGATCTAGGCATCTTTTCAGTCCCTCCTTTTCCATGTGATAACTACCACCTACTTCATTGCTCTGTTGGTGAATAAGAAATAGGGCATAAATACACTGAAACATGCATCAACAGCCAGTAAGCATAAAATGATAACACCCAGAAAGAGATTCACACCTGAACAAGCTGGAAGTCCACAATGGTATTGCTTCCCAGGTGCATGAGTGTGTAGCTTCCGAACTTCGCTGAGTGCCCTGAAGATAATATAATAAAGGAGGTTTCAAAGCTTTTCAACAGAATGTCAATGGATAACTTAGATGAATTGTAATATACACCAGTAACTCTGGCACTAGACTGTCTTGTTTGTTTCCGATTACCTGGAGAGTCTGCTCTCATATCTCCTGCAACTGTGACATTTCCCCCCTGGTGGTGTAGTTGCTGGAAAATCTTCAGCTGATCAGTCTTCCACTTGTGGATAATAGCAGGCTCCAGGTAATTCCTAGCATGCCTCCTGAAGGTCTCATACTGGAAGATCTCCAGCTGCATGGCTCTGCATATCTATGAATACATAGAAAAAGAGGAAACGTTTTTGAAAAAGTCCACTGCTGTCAATTTTAATATGCTATGGATGTTAGATGGTAAAATACCTTTTGTAGTTGGAAGAAGGAACCACCACTGAAGTATGTAGCAGCGGATAATTGTAAGTTGCCAACCGGGGTACTTCCGACGACGGGCTGGCTCTCCCATTGTCTGAGGTAACTGCAGCTTGGACAACGCTGTGTGAACGCCACAAAAGTCCCCAGTTTTCGTCTTTGGACATCACAGTCTCTCTTACACACCGGACATTTTTCAAACAGCTGTCCGAGGCAGCTTTCAAACACAATGTACTTTGCGTCACTGTGCGTGGATCGTGTCTGAAGTCTAATGTAACAAAACAAAATTAACAATACATGTTAGATTTCCAATATTCTTTTTTTCAACTCTGAAGTACAGTAATAGTAATGTATACCCAATATATCAAACTTACGATACGTCAGATTCTTCTGCAAGTACAGAATCATCAGGGTGGTAACTCGAATCCAGAGTCTCTTCAAATTCAGTTGAAGTCTCTCCTTGTTCCTCCTCCAACTCCAGTCGAGGTCTCTTCCTAGGTCCCAGTCCTGGGCCCTTTATTGGTGTAGAGGCCAAGGGGAAATCTGGGTAGGTGGAAGTTTCAGTGCCAACACTTTGGAAAGAAACCGTGGCCTGGATGCCTGTTAATAAAAGGGAAAAATGCATAAATACTTTGTACATTATATAATACATTTTAAAAGGCCAACAACTTGTGTACATCTGACATTAATTCATGAAATATTTAGAATGAACTACACAAAGCACTGTATTTCCTGTAGTCCACATAACAGTATTTCAGTGATAAACAATAATATCAAATACAGTTTTATTTATAGAGCACATTTAAAAACGATTTTTGTTCGAGCCAAAGTGCTGTACATGTAATAAAAGCACAACTAAGGTATCTCAAATGAAAAATACAGTCAATGTCAGTGTTATGTTATACCTTTGCTCCTCACGTGTGCCGACTTCTGTTAGGGTAGCGTGGAAATGGTAGGACCCAAATGCAGACTACAAAAAAGGGTAAAGGTCTATAAACAAAAACGAGCTTTATTACAAAAGCTGATGACAAAAAACATGACTTGAAACAAAACGAAAGCACAAGGAAAAAACATTTACCGAAAAACTGACCGTGACTGACATGGAGGGAGACAGGAAAAACCAACAATGAACCGACAAGGCACACAGGGGAAGACAAGACTAAATACAGAGAGGGGTAATCACAAGACAAGACACAGCTGGGGTAAGGGAGGCAGAAACACAAGGGCAACAGGTGAACACAATCAGACACACCAGGGAAACTAACGACAGGAAGGCAAACACAGGAAGAAGGAACAGAGAAGACACAAGGAGGAAAACATTTCAAAACAAAGGTGGAAAATGAAAACATAAATACAAAACCGTAACAGAACCCCCCCCTCAAGGGACGGATTCCAGACGTCCCAAGAAAACCCCAAAAAGTCCAAAACCTCTAGAAGGGTGGGCGGAGGGGGCCCGGAGGAGGGACGCACAACCAGGGCCAAAAGGGTGGGTGGAGGGGGTCCGGAGGACGGGCCCGGAAGGGGTCTCGGGCGGACGACCCGGGGGCAAGGCAGAGTCCAAAAAGGGGCGAAGGCCACAGCGGGCGAACTCAGGGGCCCGGGCATGAGAGCGAAGGCAGCGGCTAGAAGAGTCAGGAGGCCGGGCTCGGGGGCGAAGACCACGGCTGGGGAACTCAGGGGGCCGGGCTCGAGGGCGAACAAGAAGGCGGCGACGAGACAGCTCCGGAGGACGAGCAGGAAGGCGCCGACGGGACAGCTCCAGAGGCCGGGCAGGAAGGTGCTGACGGGACAACTCCGGAGGACGAGCAGGAAGGCGCCGACAGGACAGCTCCGGAGGCCGGGCAGGAAGGCGCCGACGGGACAGCTCCGGAGGCCGGGCAGGAAAGCGCCGACGGGACAGCTCCGGAGGCCGGGCAGGAAGGCGCCGACGGGACAACCCCGGAGGCCGGGCAGGACCCAGTATCGGCCGGACAGGAACCGGAGCCGACGGGACAGGCGTAGACGGGATCCCGAACATGACATGGGCTGGTGTCAATGGGACCCCGGATGGAGCAAGGGCTGGTGTCGACTGGACCCCTAACGGAACAGGACACAGAGTTGGCAGGACCCCCGGTGGAACAGGTGTCGGCGGGACCTCCAACAGGACAGGACACAGAGTTGGCAGGACCCCCGGCGGGACAGGTGTCGGCGGGACCCCCAACGGAACAGAACATGGAGCTGGCAGGACACCCGGCGGGACAGGTGTCGGCGGGACCCCCAACAGGACAGGATATGGTGTAGGCAGGAAACCCGGTGGAGCAGGTGTCGGCGGGACCCCCAATAGGACAGGATCTGGTGTTGGCAGGAAACCCGGCGGAGCAGGTGTCGGCGGAACCCCCAACAGGACAGGATCTGGTGTTGGCAGGAAATCCAGCGGAGCAGGTGTTGGCGGGACCCCCAACAGGACAGGATCTGGTGTTGGCAGGAAATCCGGCGGAGCAGTAGTCGGCGGGACCCCCAACGGGACAGGACATGGGGTTGGCAGGACCCACAGCGGAACAGGTGTCGGCAGGACCCCCAACGATTCTGGACGTGGAGTTGGCAGGACCCTCAGCGGATCACCCAACGGCACAGGACATAGGGTTGGCAGGACCCCCGGCAGAAGAGTAGTCGGCGGGACCCCCAACGGGACAGGACATAGGATTGGCAAGACCCCCGGCAGAAGAGTAGTCGGCGGGACCCCCAACAGGACAGGACATAGGGTTGGCAGGACCCCCGGCAGAAGAGTAGTCGGCGGGACCTCCAACGGCACAGGACATAGGATTGGCAGGACCCCCGGCAGAAGAGTAGTCGGCGGGACCCCCAACGGGACAGGACATAGGGTTGGCAAGACCCCCGGTAGAAGAGTAGTCGGCGGGACCCCTAACGGGACAGGACATAGGGTTGACAGGACCCCCGGCAGAAGAGTAGTCGGCGGGACCCCCAACGGGACAGGACATAGAGTTGGCAGGACCCCCGGCAGAAGAGTAGTCGGCGGGACCCCCAACTGGACAGGACATGGGGTTAGCAGATCCCCCGACGAAACAGGTGTCGGCTGGACCTCCAACGGTACAGGACATGGGGTAGGCGTCGGCCGTAGAGCCAACAGGACACGGGGGGCTGGCGTCGGCCGGAGAGCCAACAGGAGACGAGGTGCTGGAGTCGGCCGGACCACTGACAAAACCCGGGGGGCTGGCGTCGGCCGGGGAGCCAGTACTGGAGCCGAAACTGAAGCCGGAACCATGGCTGCTGGGGCCGGAACCATGGCTGCTGGGGCCAGAACTGGGGCTGAAACCATGGCTGCTGGGGCTGGAACAATGGCTGCTGGGGCCAGATCTGGAGCTGGAACCATGGCTGCTGGGGCCAGAACTGGGGCTGGAACCATGGCTGCTGGGACCAGAACTGGGGCTGAAACCATGGCTGCTGGGGCACGGGCTGGAATCCTGGCCCTGCGTCTCTTAGAGGCCTTTTGGAGACGCCGTGGACCTCCAACAGGACAGTAGTCGGATCCCAGGAAAGGGTTAGAGGCTTGAGAAAAGCTTCCAGGAACACATGTAAAATGTTGTAGCCACTCAGGCAACAAACCCCTGAGCCAGGGCTTGCGAGCAACCTCCTGGCGTGCCTCCTTCAAAGCAGCCACTCTACCCCGTATAGATGTGGCGTCATACCAGGTATAAAAAAGGTACTCTAGAGAGTACCCAAGACGTTCCGCCTGTAGCAACAAAAAATCTGAATCTGCTGAGTCCAATTCTGGTCGGTTCATTCTGTTAGGGTAGCGTGGAAATGGTAGGACCCAAATGCAGACTACAAAAAGGGTAAAGGTCTATAAACAAAAACGAGCTTTATTACAAAAGCTGATGACAAAAAACATGACTTGAAACAAAACGAAAGCACAAGGAAAAAACATT